CCGCTTATTTAAACCCCGCCCCTTCAAATCTGCCTTCATTTTTTAAAGCAATGCCCACATGTCAACGTCCAATCATGTCCCACCATGTTCACGTCATAATTCCGATAATTCTGAGATGACAACATGTGACGTTCTAATCGGAGCTGTTCACATTCTTTGACTATGGCAACACTATAAACACCTAAACATAGCAGCTAAATTAATCTGAGGCGGTCAGTGATCACATGGTACAAGTAGCTCTTAGAAAATGTCCAGTTTACAAGTTGTAATTACGAGTTCTACGAGGACGTAAATGCTTTTTCAAAGTTGGTATCTCGCAATTACGGTAATTATGACATGGCGTTAATGCACCTATAGAATGCAGTAGAATGTCACGTGTTGTCATCTTGGTAATTACGGTTGTCATTACAGTAATGATGTCATGGCAGTCACTTCCAATTCATTGTGACTTTTGGGGGGCTACTGTCACATATGTTCATACATCAACAGAATGTGGTTGGCTTTTTTTATATGTCCACAGTTGGGTTTTTTTATAGACGAACTGAAGGCATCACTTCGGAGCCCCAGAATAACATGCAGAAAAAAAAGGATATTATGGATATGAATTCAGGATTAATTTCTACAACTTAATTTGTGTCACACCCATGGACTGCCCCTGTGTTTTGTGTCTTGTGTTTTGCTCCCCATGTGCTCCCCATGACCCAGTTTCTCCCGTGTTTGATTATGTTCAGTTTCCAGGTGTTCCCCATTTAGTTCCTGAATTTAAGCCCTGTGTTTTCCTGAGTCCTGCATCCTGTCTTAAATTGTCCTAAGGTTCCTGTGCTATGTGTGTGAATAAAGTCTGTATTTTGTGAATTCTCCCACATCTCCTCGCTCCTCGTTCCTAGACAGTAGGCAGTACCAATTTGTCCCCTCGTTTTAATTTAGTTAAACTTTGAACTACATTTAACTAAAACAAGGGCACGAATTAATAAATTGGGGGAACAAATTAGTACAACGTGGCCATGATTTACTTAAGGGAACTAATTAATAAATCATAGGAATTCATTAATGAATTGTGGGGCTCCGTACATCACCTTAAATAATAAATAATAGGCCTGAAAACAATTTGGTTTAGATTATTTGAGCTAAAGAAGCACAATTTATAGAAGTAGCAGCTGTACTTGCATAACTGGAAATAGCTGCCTGGGGGCGTTACAAAGATGGTGGCCAAGTGCATAGACTTGCCTTAAAAGTGATTTATAAGGTCTTTTATTGAACTGAAATTTCAGGATGTTCAGTAAATGAGCGAACTCAACTGTACTGGATAATAGTTATATAATTGGATAGCACTCTAAATAGCATACAGCTTAAAGGGATAGTTCACGTAAAAATTCAAATTCTGTCATCATTTACTCACTCTCAAGTTGTTCCAAACCTGCATGAATTTCTTTCTTTTGTTGAACACAAAACTAACGGCATTTTTCCATACTATGGAAGTCAAAGGCTACCATCAACTGTTTGGTTAAAACATTCTTCAAAATATCTTCTTTTCCGTTCAACAGAAGAAAGAAATTCATTCAGGTTTGGAACAACTTGAGAGTGAGTAAATGATGACGTGAACTGTCCCTTTAAGCTGTCTCATGTTTTCCCGAAAACTCCCAAAAAACTAAAAAAGTGCTATAATTGCATCTTTTTTGCACACAAGTGATTCTGCCAAATTTTTACTTCTGTGTTGCACTAAAGTAAGTCCTATGGACTAGGAATGACATGAGATTAAGGAGTTAGGAAAGGTACAATTTTCATGGTTGTCTGTGGCATAATGGTAAATAACTCATACGCTGATTTGTGTAACTCAATTAGAGCCGCTGCTTAAATTCACATTTGAATTTTATGGGTGGCCCCGTCATCACAGGACCCCCTTGACGACAGATCTGAACTTAATCCTAATGGAGCTGTGATATTACTCTCATATATTACTCTGTGGGCACACACACAAACACTCATTGTCCTTTGAAGTTTTTTTCATATATTTTACCCTTTAATAGTATACAAAAAGACATAGGGGTGACATAAACACAATTAAGTCAAGTCAAGTCAAGTCACCTTGCCATATAGTTAATATTAGTAATACGCAGCATGCACGATACAAGGAAATGGTCAGTAACATCATCGCTTTGAGGTACGATATCTATATCAGTAAGATCAATTCCATGCGATATAATTAAATCTAGCGTATGATTAAAACGATGAGTATGAACATAAACCATTGCAATCATTGATTGTATACAGTAGCAAAGCCATCAAATGAAATAATTAAACCGTGTTTGTAGCTTCAGCTGACAGTTTGGGTTTTTAAACACAATAAAATCACGAGTTGCCAAAGAAATGAAAACCTGATGGTGCGGATTTTGTTCTTGAAATATTGTTTCGTCTAACTTTGATGACATAGGAGGTCCTCCGTTGGAGGCCCATCTGTAACATAAATTCGCAATGGTGCTTGAAATTGATTACAAGCAGGGTTCCTTCCACTTAAACTGTATTGTGTTTCAACCATTTAAGGCACCCCGTCATTATTTACCCTCTCTGTAGACTGCGTCAGTAAATTCATAATCAATAAATTGTGGTTTTAACACACACAAATACACAGAACAAATACCTAAAGGACACACTACAGGTTGGCAAACAGTTTGGCACAATTTTTAAAGGCAGAACAATATTTTTTTCCCAAAGATCACAGGTAAATAATGACTGCATTCCGACTAAGTCACATACTAAAACTCCAATTTAAGGGCTGACTTGCACATGTGCAGAATATTTTATTTTATATTATACAGCACTTTATACAGTACATCTAGGCACACACCTACATCAGAAGATTACATTCATATTTGTAGCAAATGTTGGAACGCTGTCATTCAAGCTGTACTTTCAAGCTGTACATTTTTTTAAATTTAAACAATAACAAAAAATTCCCAACTGCATTGTATATTCCTTTCCTTGAAACACAAAACAAGCATTATGATAATGTAAAATCTGATTTGAAAAGGCAAATATATATGATTGCACTCACTATAACAGTAGCGTTGAATGAGACCTCACTGTTCATGTTGTAGCCATTCAAAAGACTTCCTTTTGCAGAATTACAAGCATTTTAGAAAAGTAATAAACAGTGAATGAATCATTTCATCTATTGACCCTCATAAATGTAAAAGAGTTTGAATATTCTACACCAAAACTCACTTCAAACTGTTGCTCAATGGATTTAATTTGACATTCAAATGTTAGCAGTCATAAACAAAACTTTTTTTTAAATGATGGTTATTATTATTTCTTACTTGAAACCAAACTAACAAAGAACAAATCACAAGTATTACACAATTACATACTTATAATAATTAGATAAATGTAATTATTGAACCTGAATTCCTTCTGATTCAAGTACAGTAAGTCAAACTGTCTTCCTCATGACAATAAGGCTTTAGACTCTAAGCATGTCCTCTTCTTAACACCGCCTTTCCACGTCTGATGCGCAACACTATGGAAGCCTTTGTTTTTGTAAATCACAATTAAGAACTAAAAATCATAATTACACAAAAAGCTGAAATTATGACATACCAAGTCATAATTCTGGTAAGAAGCCAAACTTGGGAGATAGAAAGTTGAAATTTGGACTGTCATAATTATGATTCCACATAATTTTGACTTTTTATCTCATACTTTTGACTTTTTATCTTATATTTATGTTTACGCTTTTATGGCATAATTGAATGGTAAGAATTTTTATCTCAATGCTGACTTGTAACAATTATGACTGTTATCTCATAATTTCAACTTTTTGTCATAACTATGTCTGTTATCTCATAATTTTGACTATGACAGTTTCGACTTTTATCTCATAGTTATGACTTAATATGTCATATCACATTTCTATGCCATAATTATGATTTACCTAAGCATTTGTCTTATGTGGCAGAGATAGGCTTCCATACAACGATCCTGTTTTCCACACTCAGCCGTTCCATAAAGTTTTTATGACCTGTGCTAATCTTTGACATTTGACCTTCGTGGTGTCAAAGTAAATTCCACCCATTTGTTCACAAGCGTTGCTACCGTGTTCCTCTCTCAACAGTCCCTGAGCACTGGTTTCATTTATTTCACACGAGTTTACACAATAACAAAATCAATAAAGCTTTTGAAATAACTTTTACAGAGACGTGTGCACTCAAAGATGGCTGGCTAAGCTGGTTTATGGATATACGGAACATATATCCGTATTCCATTAAAGTCCCTTTATGCTCTCTAAAAATACAGAGAGAAACATATGCGATACTCTAAACTAAGAGGCAATACCAAAGCACTAAAACAACAGCCACAACGACGGGCTAAACTTAACACACAATAGCGGAAATCCCAGACAAACAGCGAGCTCTATGAGACGTCCCTGATATATGGTGGTTCTGATGTGTGTGAGGCAGAAGCAGCAGTTTGATGATCAGAAGACTACAAGGAGTGACGGTGCAGGCATCACTCGAGTCGATCAGAATAAATGTCACATGCAGAGCAAATACGAACCCTCTTCACCTATCCAGTAGAGCCACTCCATGCATTAAAACACAAAAAATCATCACTAGTTATACAAAAAAGCTTCCTGTGTGGGGGACATCTGGAAAAATAGCTACAGCATAGATCCATTTGAGTGACGTCATGAAGATGCACAGTGCGTTCGTTTTAGAGAGTAGTAATCACAAAGTCATAAAGGTTTTTTAAGAAAGCACAAACAAGCCATTCTCATGGGTAATGTGATAACAATGGGTTTATACAGATAGACATAGAGCGATATATATATTTATATATATAC